ATGATTTTTGAATGCTTGGGCCAGCGATGCTGCCTGCTGTATGAGCACCCCGAACACTAAGGAGCTGCACATCTACAGGAGAGAGCATTTCCTGTGTAGACCTGCCCTAAGGGGATACAGACATCACTGCTGAGGTGGAGCTCAGCCCAAACCCCAGAAACCGCTACACATGTCTGCTGGGTCTGCTGCAGCTGCTCCTCCTTAGAAGGACAAGGGGAAGGTGTGGTCTTAGGATCTAGATCCAGTTCCACTCCCCACTCCCATGTCCTTTTAATGCCAAGCAGCTGCAGCTGGCAGTCAGCCTAGCTCCTTCCCAGCACAGAGCTGGCTGCCATGTTTAGAGGCTCTTGGGGAACTGAACAAAGAGGGAGTTGTGGGACATCCCTGCAGCCTTCAGGTTAAGAATCTGTGATCTACCCTGCTCAGGGTCACCATTATTTCCAGTCACTTTCACTACCTGCTTGCACTAGGCCAGTGCTGTTGTGTTTGGGCAGCCAAACTTGCAGGGGCATGTTTACATTCAAACAGAAAATTGATCTCAATTTAAACATAAAAGTTAATTTCATGGATACACTTCTATTCCCACTGGGAACTGGCTCTGGATACTTGTGTGTGTGTCACACATACACCCCTGTCCTGTGGACTTGCATGTTCTCAGTCACTTTCTTGTGAGATTTGGGACCATGAAGCGTAAAGGAAAAGGAGTTGCGGGGATGGGGAAAGATCTGCAAACTTGATCAATCCTCAGACAGGCTGAAGGTTCAGGTTTGGGTCCGATCTCATTTTATCCCAACTGATTTGCCAGGAAAAGGAGTACTTGTGGCACCTTAGATCACTTTAGAGAAGCTATTACCAGCAGGAGGGGGGGGGGAAGAAAACCTTTTGTAGTGATAAACACCCATTTTTTCATGGTTTGTGTGTATAAAAACATCTTTTGTATTTTCCACAGTATGCATCCGATGAAGTGAGCTGTAGCTCACGAAAGCTCATGCTCAAATAAATTGGTTAGTCTCTAAGGTGCCACAAGTCCTCCTTTTCTTTTTGTGAATACAGACTAACACGGCTGTTACTCTGAAACCTAATTTGCTAGGGTGCAGCTGAAACAGAAATGACCATCTGGGGCCCCACTGTCATGCATAGACTTGATCATTCAAGAGAAACCTCCCCCTCCCACAGTGGGAGATGATATCTCATTGGGTCCAGATCTCTCCCAAATACCCCTGGTGGGGGAACATGATTGAGTGGCCACTCACAATGAGAGGTCTCCACTGCAGCTCATCCAGAACCCCACCAATCCTTGCCCCACTGTTCTCCCACCCCGTATGGAAGCCTGAGCTCAGCTGAGCTGGTGGCTTTGATCAGCTCGCACTGTGAATGGTGTGAGAGGTTTCTCAGCTCTCTAGTGCAATTCTCAGCACCAGCGTGCTGGAGATTAGGCTATTCTCACCCGGCCCTCAGTGACTTTGAGTCACTCCAGGCAGAAAATCTCACTCCTTGCCCTGTACCAGCTCCCAGTGGCTTGTTAATCTGCATGCCAGAGCATCATCTGTTGTCTCCAGATGAGCCCCAGCAGAGGTTATTTGTCCTGTGAGAATCTGATCTGTTGTTAATTCTCTTCATCCTCTGAAAGGTGGGGGGTAATTAGGCAGAGAGATCCAGGTTTCCTGGGTCCCACATGGAAATGGTGGGGAGAAGAAGAGAGGCAGGAAACATCCCTGGCCCCCATTCAGCCCTGTGGGTGGGAAGGCTGAGAGGCCTTTCAAGCAGTTTCTGTATCCATAATGCACAGCAGACGGGGAGCCAGCAGGCTGACCGGCAGGGAGAAATCAGGCAGGTGCTGCGGGCACGCAAGCAGAAGCAATGGATGGGAAGTTCTGCACCACCACATGCTGCTGTGTCTCACTGATTGCTCCTCTGGGTGGCACTGGATGCCATCCAGGCTTGAGGCCAACGGGAACATCTCTCTCACATGGCATCACGCAGCTGATCAGGTGCATCATTTTTTCTCCCACCTACTTCCAAAGCATCAAGTAGTGGCCGCTGTTGGAGGCAAGACACCCAACTCGATGGGTCATTGGCTAGATCCTCTCTTGCAGGCCCCATGTTTGAACATACTAGAGACGGACTCAAGCCAGATGCTTTCAATCTGGATTTGCAACCCCCTTCCTCCATGCTCCACAGTACAGGGGGTGGGGACATGAGGCTTGAGGCTGCTAAGGGGAAATGCAGAAGAGCTTAAAAGGTGGGTGGGACAAATGAATGAATAAAGTCATCTGCAGTGTAAAGAACAGAGATCAGATGGAAAAGACTCACCAGGTCACTGATTGAGGGGAAAGGAATTAGAATCTACTTCCGACAGGGCTCCATTTAGCTGCATGCTAAGTGCATTTTCGTTATGAACTTTGAGACGGACTTAATAAATTCAGCATGACCAAGACCTGGGCTCCTGATTCATTGTTTTCATACGTGCTGCCCTCCCTCTCCAGCCACCATCCCAAGCTGAATATTTGCTAAGACTCCATGACACATGAGCCAACGTCCCGGCCCCCATGTCCAGTACCCTGCAATATTTCACATATGGGTGATGATGGATCACTGCCGCTGTTCAGGCACCTCTTTAACTCCTCGGACGTCATTGCACCCAGTGAGAGCACAAGGCAAGACCAAGCAAAACACAACAGAGGAAACTAAAATTGTAAAGGCACTGGGCTGGGAGCCAGGAGATGAGAGTTCAATTCTTGTCTTTGCCATATACTCCCTGTGTGATGCTGAACAAGTCACTTATGCTCAGATTTTCAACGATGCTTTAAGGGATTTGGACACTCAGGTATCCAAATCCTCTAGGCAGGTTTTAAAATGTCAGCCTTAATCTCTCTTTGCTTCAGTTGCCCATCTGTAAAAATGGGGTAATAATCATGTTTGGGTCCCCAGGCAATTTCCCTGCTTGCTATCTCTTTACCCTGGCCCTGCAGGCTGCAAAGCAAAGTTTGGAAGGAAGCTGGCATTTCCTCACTGCCTGGTTCTCCTGACAGGACCCACCACGTATTACAAAAACTTCACACTCTGATGGAAGAAACGTTAGGCACAAAGCAAAACTAAATGGCTGCCAATATCCTGAAACAGAATCCATCCATCTAACCCTCCACAGTGTGGACCCTGCATCATCATCTCACTTCTCCAGAGGCTCAAGCTACTTAAGTGTTAAAAATCCCAGCTCCCCAGCCCAAGGGCAAACACACACATTTCACTGGCCTGCAGAAAAGCCAGCATGCCAGCTCTGTGCCTGCAAACAGAGCAGACAGAGGAAAAATCCCCCAGAGTCCTCAAAAAGATTAGAATAGGGCCATCCTAGGAGAGCAATCCCATCTCATTCCTACGCACTAACCATGTCTCAGTCAGACATGGGCCTGATCCCACATTCTGGAGCTTTGGGCAAGACCAGTCACATCCAAGCTTCATAACTTGGGTGTTTCTATAAAGGGAAACCCAAATTCAAACACTCTCCAACTCTGCTTTGGATCCAAATACGGCTGCTCTGGCCCATCTCTGCAATTCACTTTGCAGAGCCCTTGGAGACAGTGAGGGCTCAGGGAACATTGCTCAACAGCAGGCCGTATAAAATCAACTGCGTTCGAGTTACAATGCCAGCAAGCAGCTGAGTTCCCCATGTCTGCGCCTGCTGGTGCTCCAGACAAACTTGATAGGGAGAACATTTTACGTCCCAACGGGTGTGGTCTAGTGGTTAGAGCCAGAGGGTGGGAGCCAAGAGAGCTGAATTCTGTTCCTAATGTGCTGTGTGATCACTGTGCCTCAGTTTCCCCATCTGGATGATACTATATTTATCATATACTATCCCCCACAGGGATACTGTGAGGATAAATACATTGCTTGTGAGATGCTCAGGTACTCCAGAGATGGGGGCCATCTACGTGCCTAGGCAGAGGGTATTTACCGATCTCACAGTGGGGTTGTGACGCTTCGTTAGGTTAATATTTCTGCAAGTATTATTTATTATTCTTATTGTGATAGTGCCTAGGAGCCCCACTCATGGACCAAAGCTCCATTGTCCTGAGCGCTGCACAGACACCGAACAACAAGACAGACCCCGCCCCGAGAGCTGACCATCTATGTTGTGAGCTTCGTTACTTTGAAAACACAAAGGGCTACAGAAGTAGAAGTATCCTTTTCTCTGCAGAGCAATCCAGGCACCAGGGCCTCAGCCCCACTGCAATAAGGAGGTGGGGTGCACTTGGGGTGTTTGGGTTACAAGTACCGGGGCCCTAGCTGGTCACTGGTGTCTAGCAACAACTTTATATCTCCAGGCAAGGCCTTGTCCAGACTAGTCACACATGCAAAGTGGGATTTTAACGCTTTTACTCAGCACTAATGTCGGGCCCCTTGTGCGTTTAGTCAAGCAACTAGACCTGAGCCAAGCCTTTGTGTGGGTGTGCACTGGGACTGAAGCATGTGCTCTGCTGAATCGGGGCCTTAAACATGATTGTTACTGCCATCGGAGCAGGGAAAGGCAGTGATTCCCCCCCCCTTAACTTGCTCTAAGCACTCAGTCACTGCCCGGCTGGGGCAAGCAGCATTTCGCCCCTTGCTATATTTTTCTGTGGCAATTTGCTACATATATTTGCCAATGTGATATTGAGACTTTTGCACAGTTTTGTCCTTCCTCCCCACCCTCCAGGGATTTCACAGGGGAAAGGGAGATGCTGGGGCAGAGGGGGGCAGGTGAGGGAAGGGTGGAAGGGGCTACAGCATTCCCCACCTCTCAAAGCTAATAGTTTCCTCGCTTGACGACTCCCTCGGATGGTTTGTTAGAAGGACTGCCTTTTCCTGGACGAAAGATGCTCAGCAGTCAATGGCAGTGCAATCTCTTCCCCTGACCCCTGAACCTGGGGAAGCAGTGGGTCCAGGGACAGGATGGATTTGACAGAACCCATCTCCAGAGCAGGGAGATAGATTGGGTTTCCCACTGAGTTTCACATAGACATGAAAGCTTCTCCCCCTCCAGATGGGAGGAGAGCATAGTGACCAGCCATACCTCCCGCTCCCTCCCCAGGCTGGCCAATCACCTCCTCATCTCTCTGGGAGGGGGCACCAGCTAGCTCTTTTTAGCCAATGAGAAAGGAATCCCCCCCCCAGCCTCCACAAGTCCTGCTGAGGGGGGGCGGGGAGGAGAGGTTTAAAATCCCAGAAGTATCTCCATCCCCTCCCCAGTGAGTCCCAATGACAAGCAGGTCTGGGCCTGATGCTAGGTGCTGGGCTCCAGGGCTTTGCGGTGGGATTCCCAGAGGGAGGCAGAGAGGAAGCCAGACACCATGAGCTCGGTCCCCAGCCACCAGTGGCTGGACCATGTCTTCAGTGCGGTGGAGAGTGAGTTGGAAATGGGCCCTGAGAAAGAGGATGTCTCGGAGAGGGAGATCAAGGTGGTGCTGGAGGAGAAAGAGCTGTGGATGAACTTTAAGGAGCTCACCAATGAGATGATAGTCACCAAAACTGGCCGGTGAGTGCAAAGAATTCTCTCTACCCCTCCTCTGAGCTGTCTGGAGGTAGCCTCTCCTTCCACCCCTCTATCTACCTCCCTTAAGTATCTTTAAGATGCCCATCACCAGTGCCTCCAGGCACCAGATACATACATTTACCCAACTGATCCACCAGGACCCTGTTCTCCTCCTAGGCCCCCTTTACGCTGCTCTTGTCTCCAGGAAGGTGCCACTGGTTGTTTTCTGGCTCTGAGCTCCTTGTGGCATGATCACCAGACATGGGGGGCTGGGAGGGGAGGCCTCTCCCCCTCACCATTGGGGGTAGGGGCCAAGGTCTAGGAAGCACCCTTATTTTGAATCCGTAGGGTTTTAGCGGAGTTGCATAGCTACATTTGTCTGATTCGTACAAATTCCCCATCAGGGGCTTTGCTTTACCTGGGCTGTAAATAGCACAGAGTCTTTGTGCTGGCCCTCTGCACAAGGATGAATTTCACCTGAGCGATACGGAGACCGAGAGCTGCTGCAGAGAAGATGGCTCTGATAGATTCCGTTGCTGGGACAGTTATGTAGGCAGGTGGCGAGGACTCAGAATTTACAAACTGGGGTGTTCCCCCCGGCCCCACCATCCAAGAATGATCAAGGAAAACGGTAACAGGCTGATCACTTTGATCTGATGGGAGGTGAATTAAAAATGGTCAGTAGTTTCCCCTCCCAGTTACGGGAATGGGAGAGACTAGTCTGTCTGGTTTGAAAAGGAAGAAAACTGATGGCAAATAGATCAGTTTATATTAAAATGAAAACGAAGGTACTGCCCCTACTTACTCTGAAACTAGCAGTTACCAGGAAGGTTTAACAGCCGTGTTAGTCTGTATTCGCAAAAAGAAAAGGAGGACTTGTGGCACCTTAGAGACTAACCAATTTATTTGAGCATAAGCTTTCGTGAGCTACAGCTCACTTCATGGGATGTATACTGTGGAAAGTGTAGAAGATCTTTTTATACACACGAAGCATGAAAAAAATACCTCCCCCCACTCCACTCTCCTGCTGGTAATAGCTTATCTAAAGTGATCACTCTCCTTACAATGACAGGTTTCAGAGTAACAGCCGTGTTAGTCTGTATTCGCAAAAAGAAAAGAATTATAACATTCATAAACCAGTTGGAGAACACTTCAATCTCTCTGGTCACGCGATTACAGACATGAAAGTTGCGATATTACAACAAAAAAACTTCAAATCCAGACTCCAGCGAGAAACTGTTGAATTGGAATTCATTTGCAAATTGGATACAATTAACTTAGGCTTGAATAGAGACTGGGAGTGGCTAAGTCATTATGCAAGGTAATCTATTTCCCCTTGTTTTTTTCTACCCCCCCCCCCTCAGACATTCTTGTTAAACCCTGGATTTGTGCTGGAAATGGCCCATCTTGATTATCATATGCATTGTAAGGAGAGTGGTCACTTTAGATGAGCTATTACCAGCAGGAGAGTGGAGTGGGGGCAGCAGGTGAGTGGGTTTGTGTGTGGGGGGGTGGGGGGGGGGGTGAGAAAACCTGCATTTGTGCTGGAAATGGCCCAACTTGATTATCATACACATTGTAAGGAGAAAGAAAAGGAGGACTTGTGGCACCTTGGAGACTGGCCAGTTTATTTGAGCATAAGCTTTCGTGGGCTACAGCTCACTTTGTAGCTCACGAAAGCTTATGCTCAAGTGGATTGGTTGGTCTCTGGGGTGCCACAAGTCCTCCTTTTCTTTTTGCGAATACAGACTAACACGGCTGCTACTCTGAAACCTGAAATGCCACTGTGGGGAGAAGTTCTGTGATACAGGTGAAGGGTTAAGAAATACACTTGTTAAGGTGGCAGGAGAGAGACCAGCGCTGTAATGAAACCTGTGGCAGAAGTGGGTTTGCAATGACAGCTGAGAGGAGCGAAGCAGCCAATAAAGGTGAAGCAAACAACTAAACATCTCCTCCTCCTATCCCCTGCGTAGGAGAATGTTCCCAGTGCTGAAGGTCGGCATCTCGGGCCTGGACCCCAATTCCATGTACTCTATCCTCCTGGACTTTGTGGCTGCAGATGGGAACCGCTGGAAGTATGTCAACGGGGAGTGGATTCCTAGCGGCAAGCCTGAGCCCCAGAGCCCGGGCTGCGTCTACATCCATCCCAAATCCCCAAATTTTGGGGCTCACTGGATGAAAGCCACCGTCACCTTCAGCAAAGTCAAGCTCTCCAACAAGATGAATGGAGGGGGGCAGGTAACTCTGGAAGGGGCTCACAGTAGGGTGAGGGGATAGAATCATAGAATCATAGAATATCAGGGTTGGAAGGGACCCCAGAAGGTCATCTAGTCCAACCCCCCTGCTCAAAGCAGGACCAATTCCCAGTTAAATCATCCCAGCCAGGGCTTTGTCAAGCCTGACCTTAAAAACCTCTAAGGAAGGAGATTCTACCACCTCCCTAGGTAACGCATTCCAGTGTTTCACTACCCTCTTAGTGAAAAAGTTTTTCCTAATATCCAATCTAAACCTCCCCCACTGTAACTTGAGACCATTACTCCTCGTTCTGTCATCTCCTACCATTGAGAACAGTCTAGAGCCATCCTCTTTGGAACCCCCTTTCAGGTAGTTGAAAACAGCTATCAAATCCCCCCTCATTCTTCTCTTCTGCAGGCTAAACAATCCCAGCTCCCTCAGCCTCTCCTCATAACTCATATGTTCCAGACCCCTAATCATTTTTGTTGCGCCCTATAGCCAATCTTACAGCCCTCGGGAGAGCTCTAAGATACTTGCCCAAGACAGCAAGTTAAGTTTCTATTTCCCTTATTCCATGGAAACTATTGGGGCAGCAGCATTCGCTTGTGCAGTCATTCTCCAGGGCTTCCAGTGGACAAGCTGGATTTCAGTTAGTGGCCCAAAGATGCCACTAGTTTGTCCTGAGCAAATACATACTCAAAAAGCTCACTGAGCACAGTGCAGGAGCCTAGATTAGAGAAAACTTATCGAGCAAATAGCCATGTGGTTACACCAGGCCCTATCATATTACATTATCCATGCACCTGCAGGACAGAGTGAAGGAGACACTGCAGGCATGGGATGCATGTCTCTGGCCTGCATACTGACTGCTTTTCTGGCACCCTGAAAGATCAGGTCCTCAGATGATGAAGCTGAGCCTGAAGGCCACTGTTTAGTGTGTTTGTTCTGTCCCTCAGATCATGCTGAACTCCCTCCACAAGTATGAGCCCCGCGTCCACATCGTGAAGGTCGGGGGGCCTCAGAAAGCAATCAGCAGCTTTGCTTTCCCGGAGACCCAGTTTATTGCCGTCACTGCCTATCAGAACGAGGAGGTAAGTCGAATAATTATTTCCTGCAGATAAGAGTGCGCTAGGGGGTTTTATCATGAAAGGCACAGCACTGTAGATCAGAGGCATGTGGACCACTTCCCCTGCAACCATTCCACCTCTGAGATGGAACGAGGCAGCTTTTTAACAGCACAACATTTCAAGACAAAGTGAAGAACGTATCCAACTGGAACCCTTCCAATACTTTCCAGCACAATGAACTGTTTCATTTCAATGTCCCCGTTCTGTTCCCACCATCACCTGTCTCCGAGGGCATGCCCTCCTCCCTTGGGCAGATCCAATACACTGTATGTCACTTGGAATCCACTTCCCTTTATGGTGTGTATATCATAAAGCCTCTCCCCCCACCATGCAGAGACTTGATTCACAGAGCAGGGCCTGGGAGAGATCAAACTTCTGTTTGTCTCTTACGCTTACGCGCTGCTCCCCAAGCCAACGGGAGCGTTCGCACTGACAGCCATGGCAACAGGGTCAAGCCTGCAGAACAGAGAACAATCCCTCACACCTGGGAGATCGGGGAAAGTAAAGTGCTAACCCTAGGCCTGGACGCTGCTGGAAACAAAGGAACTTTAGGTCTCTGCTAGTGAAAGCCAGCTCTGGAAACAACTTCTGTATCTCTGAAAGAAAAGGAGTACTTGTGGCACCTTAAAGACTAACAGCTGAAGACCACATAAGAATTAGAGCCAAATCCAGCCCTGATTTCAATGGTATTCCCTGGGATGTAAGGCTGGGTGAAATTTGGCTCTTAATGCAATACCCTGCTCTGCCTTCCCTGGGGAAAAAATGCTGCTTCTCTTCCGTTCTTAGTTTAAAATGGCTAGTGAGGAAGTGTTGTCTAAGGTAGAGCCTGGGGCAAGAAACCTGAGAGTTCTAATCCTGGCTCTGACACTTGGCAAGTCCCCTCCTCTATGCGTTTCAGCATCGCCACTTGTAGAAAACAGAACAGCTCTGAATCTCGGGGTGAGGGGACGGCGGGGGGGATGACAACACTATTTTGTTAACAGCTTCAATATGAGAAGCTGTTAGACAAGTGCTTATTAAAAAATAAAAACCACTAGCAGGCATGTACCACTCATGAGCAATCCTACAACGAACATGTAAATAAAAGGGAGGAAAGTTAGAACGATTCCCATTTCATGCTTCCAAGGAGTGAAGACAAGTGGATTTTAGGAATTCATGAGAAGCACCTTGATATGATCCAACATAGAAACAACAAAAGGGCCAAATTCTATTGTTATACAAATGTAGAGCCATTGTAACTTGCTTAATGTCAGAGTTAATTGCAATTTGATACCAGTGTGCCAGAGTAAGATTTGGCGGGGTGGGGAGGGATGTTGGAGACATGAAGAAGGGTCAGGAGTGGCTGAAGGTTTATATTTAAAAAAGCTGAACTGCAACCGTCTTCTGTCATTTCAGATCACTGCCTTGAAAATTAAACATAATCCTTTTGCAAAAGCCTTCCTGGATGCCAAGGAGAGGTGAGTGGTGGCTGAGGGAGACTGAGGTCAGCTTGCATGAATCATTAACAGTGCTTTGCCCCTCTTGCGCTCCTTTCATCTAAGTGTGTTTATAAAAGGGAATGAATTAATCTTCACAACACCCTTGTGAGCAACTGTCTCCATTTTACAGATAGGAAAACTGAAGCCCAGGAAAAAAACTCACTCAAAACCACACCAGTACCTCAGTGGCAGAGCCCAGAGATCCCACCTCACTTCCCCGCTCTAACCACTCTGCTCCCCCTAAAGCAGCTGGGAGTCAGGATGGCAACTGGCTGTATGGCACTGCTTAAAGGGATCCTGTAAATGAACACTATTTAATGAATGCCTGACATTGGTTAACTGGAGACTTTATTCCCTCTCTATATTCTCCATGTAGGTGCGAGTCCAAAGACGTTCTGGACCCCAGCAACGAAGCTCATCAGTCTGGCTATTCACAGCGTGAGACTTCCTCTTTTCTGACTGATCTCTGGGACACTAGGACATGAACACACAAAAGGCCCAATCCTGAAGAGCACTGAGGCCTAGATCCCCCCAAGGGTATTTAGATTCCTAACTCATTTCAATAGATGTTAGGAGTCTAAAAACCTTTGAGGAGCAGGGCCTGAGTGCCTCAACTCCCCCTGGAGTCAGTGAGTGCTCAGGACATTCACAGGACCAGACCCTACCAGCATTTACAACACTTTCAAACTGGAGTCTCAGGTTCCTTAGCCCCTCACTGCTGCACTGGAAACAGGTTCAGGTGGGGGATGAAGAGTCCATGGTTTGTATGATCTCCAAATGGAGCCAACAGGACCTCGCATTGTTGAGATGTGAAATTCTCTCAGGCTCCGATTCCCAATGCTGACCTATAACAGGTATCTGATTTGGTGTCCGTCTCTTGCAACAAGCCTAAAAGTTAGAGACCACCATTTAAAATCCCACCAGCGTCGTTTCTGGACATTCTAGAGACTATGGGTAGCATATTCAAAAGCAGCGAAGTGACCTCGGCTCCCAAGTCCAATTGAAAACCAATTAGACTCTGGCTACTACATGACTTAGGAACTTCTGAAAATGCGCCCCTTGTTTCCATGGTTTTGTATTTCTGATATTGCTCGTTTCCAGCCCAGCTCTGTGCCATGCCTTTGGACAGATCTCTGACAGGGATGCTAGCTGCCTAAAGAGCCTTGAGTTACCTTTGACTGTTTTCCTTTCGCAGTTGGGGGTTGGTTTCTGCCAGGCACCAGCTCTTTTTGTTCCTCTCCTGCCCAGTCTGCGTTCTCAGGCAGTCCTGGCCTCTCGTCTGGCCACAGCTCATACTGCGAGACACACTCCAGCCTGCGGAACCAGAGGGCCTCCCCTTATCCGAACCCATACAGCCAGATCAACGCCTCACCGAGTAAGGACACCCCAACCACATTCATCTTCCCTACTCTGGACTGGCCCAAGACTTGGGCTGCCTGTGAAGTTAACTGCAGGACTCAATGCAGAGAGCGGGGCAGGGGAAAGAGAATGGGCCTTTAAACAGACGGAGCACATTATTAAATTGTTCCCTTAGGGGCGGCTTTTCAGAGGTGCTGAGCCACAACAGCTCTGACTGACTTCAGCTGGAGTTGTGGGTGCTTAGCACCCGCTGGAAATCAGACCCTCATTGCCCAGCAGAGGCATCACCACAGCTGCCTTCACCCTTGGATACCCTCAGGGTAGAAAGGCCCATCTCCACCGGTGAGAGTGAGCACCCAGGCCTGCTCCTCTCTGGGTAAGGGGGGGCCTGCTGCATGGAGTCCTGTCCAGTGCGGGTGCACAACTAGAGCTGGCTGCCAAACAATGCAAAACAGAATCGGGCCGCTACTTGACAATCACTTCTATGCTCCACCCAGAGACAGCTGGATTTCAGTATTGGGGGAAGTCTTTCTATATAGCATTTGTAAAGGGCGTAGACAAAAATCTCATTTAATCTCAGTCTGTGGTACTGATCTGGCATCTATTACTGTAGCATTTGAGCACAAATGGGGAACTGAGGTACAGAGAGGCTAAGTGACTTGCCAAAGGTCTCACAGGAAGTCTGTGGCAGAGCAGGGAATTTAACCCAAGTCTCCCGATTCCCAGGCTACTGCTCTAATCACTAGTCCAGGGGTTCTTAAAATGGGGGTTGTGACCCCTCAGAGGGTCACTAGGTTATTATGTGGGGGTTTGCGAGCTGTCAGCTTCCACCCCCAAACCCCACTTTGCCTCCAGCATTTATAATAGTGTTAAATTAAAAAGTGTTTTTAATTTATGGAGGTGAGTGGGGGGGGGTCGCATTCATAGGCTTGCTGCGTGAAAGGAGTCACCAATACAAAAGTTTGAGAACCACTGCACCAGGCGATCCTTCCTTTCTTTATTATTGTGTGTCACCATTTGCTCTACGTCCAAATAATCTATTTTTGCTTTAGCTAATTATGTAGATAACTCCACGGGCCTCTCCATGGTGCCTGCCCCTGACAGCTGGCCTGGCCGGAGTCTCTCCAGCTCTATGGGGGTTCTACCCGGCACTTCCTCTACCACAAGGTATGGCACAGACTTGGATCCTTTCTTCAAAGAGGGAGAGCGCTTTTATTCCTAGACTAAAGAATTAAGGAAGCTAAGTGGGGTTAATGTCCAGTGGTAGCTGGTTTCACACCCTGATTTTAACCACATGGAGAGGGAACATGGTGTCTCAGTTTAGTCCTTAGCTGAACTTTACCTGCATCAGGACACTGAGCACATTGTCCTCTCTATATGTTTAGGGTTAGAATGAGCCTGACAGCTCAGAGCGGAGGAGCTTTGGCAGTGCCCAGGGGATGGCAATGACTGAGGAAAGCAGGTACTCAGGAGATATCGGCTGAGGTTTACTGATAGGTGTAAGAGGGCTCACGACTGGAGTAGCATGGACCGGTGCAGGTAGAGGGGGCAGCAATGCAGAAATTGAGGGTGTAAATCAAGCACAGCTGTGTCTGCAGGGGTAGATTTGCGCAGCATTTAGGGGAGTGAACACCAGGTGAATGGAGAATCAAGACAGCAGGTAGGCTGCAAGCTAAACTCTTAGCCTGTTGCTAAAGAGGTACAATTTTTTTTCTCCCCACCTAGAATTTGCTTTGTAGGGAAGGACAAAGGCAGGAGGTGAAGCTCCCTACTCTCCCCTGCCAAAGATGTGAGGAGGGAGTTTTGCAGGAGGGGCACCCCTCACCCTGAAGGGGGCTTGTCTCCTCTACAAGAGCTACCTCATCAAGGGCCTAGTGAAAATGTGTAGCGCAGAGGGACCCTACCCATGTTATATTTATGCCATAAGACTTGGGCATGTCTCCAGAGGGGTTACATGACCTAGTTACAACACAGTTATGTTCTGCCCACATTGCAAATTTTAACCAGTCTCCTGATAAGACTGTGGTGCAGTTACAGATGGGCTGTAAGTGCATTCATAAGCCTTAGTCTCATCCCGTTTCCTCACAGCTGAATGACTGTGCATGGAGGAGTATATCAGAATAAGGACGCCAAGGAGAGGAAAGACCAGCTGCACTACTGGAAGTGAGTGAGATAAGCCATGATGGTAACTCTCTTTTCACCTTACAGTCAATATCCCAGCCTGTGGTCCGTCACCAGCAACTCTATCAGTCCTGCTCCTCAGTCCAGCTCCAACCCCCAGTTCCTGAGAGGATCTTCGGTCTCTTATAGCAGCTTGGCCTCTGCTATATCAGCCCCCTCCACATCCCCAGTCTACAACAATGCTCTGGCAGAGGTGCCCTCGAGTGATGGTCAGTGTGACTCCGCTATCCCCCGTCTGGCATCCACTTGGGCAACAGTCACTCAGACTTACTGACACTGAGAAGCTGCCCTCTTCCATCTGCAAAAACAACTGGAAAGAAGCTGGCAGAGGGCAAAGAAAGGGGCAGCTGCACAATGGTGTGAACCTCTCTACTCTCACAGAACATAGCTGATTGCATAATCCTACAAGATGAGAACATGTCTAAGAACCTCCACTGTTTAAAGGCTGTGGCATAAGATGGAAGACAGACTCTTATAGAGCAACCAGAGGATGATACAGGTGGTAATCTGTGCTCAGCAGCACTAGGGCATATCTCCAAGGAGAGATTTAGCTTTCTAAACTATGGGGGTAAAGCTAAGAAGAAAGATGCAACCTGTCCGACTCTCAGGATGGTGGAGCAAATGAATGCTGTCTTGTAGAGCGCATGTCCCAGCATAACAAATGTCCAGCCAGTCAGCATGTTATCACTTGCACATAGGAGACCCAAATAAAGGAAATAAGATCTTCAAATGTATGGACCAAGATCTTGAAAAGCTGTGTATTATTTATAGAACTTCACTTGTAAATAAACCTTTCTGAAAACTAAGTGTTGTTTGCCTTTTGCTGAAGATTGAAACCCTCCAAGAGTTCTTACAGATTTAAGTGCTGATAAGGGGGTTTGGAGCAGGTATAAATTTTTGGAATAAGGCATCCTGGCTGTAAGAAATCACGCTCTCAATTTACCATCTTCCTGCTCCTCCCTTATGGAAGTTGATCTCAGATACCAAGACTGTGCTTCCTCCAAATTAAGCAGCCGACCGCATGTGTTCCCAGAAGTTTGGCAAACCCTCTACTAAGACTAACTATAGGGCAAACCTCAAACTTTAATAGAGAGACTCATCCACACACATAATAAGCCATTGGCCTATTGTGACCGATCATTACAGCCCCTTCCTCTACAGATTCCACTACCTCTGCTCTCAAAGCTCCTCAAAATGTGTGTATGAGCCTGTTATTCAAATCCTTCCCAGATCCTACTGGAAAACCAACCCGGAGAGAGGGGGGGCACACAACCAAACACCCAACAAAACAATATAATGTCATAAAATGCAGTGCTTAGAATGCTTAAGAGTTCATCCAGGGGACTCGGTCCTCTCCTTATTGGGGGATCATAAGCTCCATGAATCAACAGGGCCTTGCCACCTCTAGTCAGTGTGATCCTGTGCCTCTGTACTCACTTCACCCTCCACTCCCTGCCTCTTCCCCTACGGTCAAAGACCCAGAGCTACAGGTAATAAAGTGACTGGAATAAAAATATATATTCATTAATAGTAAGAAATACTATTCACCATTTTAGCGTGGGTCAAACTTTACTATGCCCCTTAGGAAAAGGGGAGAGAGAGAACACACTGTGCTTCAGTGAGATGTCATCCAACAAATATTATAATAAAAAAATAAAAAATTTAAAAAAAAGAAAAACCGTCAGTGTATTTAATCACTTCCTGGAGAATGGATTAAAAATCCCAGCTGGATTCCAGATTCTCACTTCAGGTCACTGGAACATTTCAAGATTGAAAGTTCTCTAAAATAGCTAACTTGTAAACATACCCAGCCCAGCTCCGCTTTGGTGATCCCTCCTAAATGAAAATGAATCAGGGAAGTGGGAATGAGGCTTTGGCTCTTGGGTGTTCCAGGAGTGAGGCTATTTCACACATAGGTGTCAGCAGAAGGTTAGCCTGAGTCATTTGTCGACAAATATCTAACTTGGAGGTATGTGGCAATGCGAGGTTGCAGGAAAGAGGGAAGACCAGAAGGAATTTGCTGCTTCTGATACAAGCAGTGACTTACAATTGGGAGCTGGGGAGTCCTGCTGATAGATCAGCTCTGTAGAGTTCCTGCTCCATAAGATGAGACTTTCAGAGCCACATAAGCTTGCCCTGCATTTAACTCACATTTCAGAAATAACTACTGTCCTTTACCCCACATGATGTCTTTGTTAACTAGAGACATGATCCAAAACATAACCCTTCCCTGCTTCGGGAAACTCCCAGATTATACATCCTGTATAATCGGCTGTATAATTCAGTGGGTGCAAACTCACTTATATCAGCAACTTTTCTACCATCTCAGATTTAAGGCTCTCCAGTTCCAGCTCACTTTCAAGGGCACTTAGCAGAAAGAGTTATCAACAGGAATGGAATTGGTCCCCCTGCATTTCATTTTTCTTCTTCACCCATGTTGAGTCTGTCTTCTAACATGTGGGTATCAGCAGGTACACTGGGGCCTGAGTGTCCAACAGGCAAGACTTGCACTGAGAGGTGGAGACAGCAACATTTCCCTGCGGGTTTTTCCACTGGAGCAATCATCCCATTACGTCCATCCAGTTGTAATATCAACACTTACAGCTATGCCTAAGCAGCAATAATTCATAGAGAGGTACAATTTAATTACTCCGTCTGACTCACCTAGTTCACGAACAGGAGAGGCCTCGTTATTACTTTCGTAGGGGTCTGTTACCATACGTGGTGGTCTGCTGCCTTGTGTTTGCTGATCAGGCAATTGCTATCTTCTCTCCTCTATGATCTCTGTGGGTTCGCATAATGAGGAAATTCTAATACCCAAGTGAGACATTGCTTTCATCTGGTTATGCTCCTTCCATCTCCCCCACCTCCCTGGGTCCTAAACCCTCCAAGGGCAGGGAGAGAATTTCAACATTACACTTGGTTTTAAGGTTCCTAAGTGACAAGATAGCACAGAGAGCAACTTCTACCATTAGCCAGAACGCAGAGAAAGTAAAATAATAAAGAAAGATACTTCCAGCTATCAAGATGTCTTCTAATTAGAGAAGCTGAAAAGGTTAAAATTTAGATGGGACTTAGAAATGGATTTCTTGACCTATTACTAAGAACACCTTAATGCCGGAACTCTGAACATTTACTTTTCACTACTGATATTGTTTGGTTTTTTTGCATTTCTCTCTGCCTGGAAAAAGAAAAGGGACTCAATTCTCCTGCACTAGCATAGTGCTCCAATGGCAAACACTACAGGTGAATTTTAAAAAAATTACTTCTGCCTTGGAAATTAAAAAAAGCCAAACAACATATAAAATTGAAGACCAATAGAAACATTTCTATCGAATTTGACCTAAAAATGCCCTCTTAAAGCACCACATTTCTCTGAGTCATAAAATTCACATTTAAGATTGAATACATTCCAAACACACACTCAAGCGACAGTACGGCTAACAGAAGAGCAGGTAAGTTTATGTCCCAAGTGGACTACAGTACCAACATGCAACAGGGTGAGTCAAGGAGGGAGTTTCAATCTAAATACATAATGAGACGGCACTTCAATCTATATGCATAATCACTGTAATGTAGTTACCACTGTGGCAGAGAATACCACCAGCAGACACAACACCCACTGCTTAACAATGCAGGCAAGACCCTACTCTTCTAAAAAGTGCCCCAAAAACTTTGAACATGCAGAGTAGACAGAACTTTGTTTTTTCAATTCTAAACTCCAGAGTGGTCTTCATGACATGACTGATATGAGGCAACCCAACCCTATGTATGTGTCACGTGCATCCCCATTCCGTCACCAACAAGCAACAGAGTAGAAAATTTCCTACTCTGAGCCCCGGCCACAATACCGTGAGATGTAGGAAAATGCAGATCTCATTCTTCTACCATGAGTCTTTAGTACCACCCACGCTTATATTCCTACCAGCTGTTAGCCTACAATTCTTTTGTTTGCCCAGGGGAGGGTACAGGGGAAAAGAGGGAAACTCTCCTGCTAAGTTCTACAGCACAAAGCAACTAGATTATTCTTTACAATATTTCAGTCGAAAAGAGATGGAAAACTTGGCCTGAGCACAGGACTGGGAGCCAGGAACTGCTGACCATTAAAATGTCAGCTCTGCTGCTGAAGTTTTGATTAAGTCTCTTAACCTTTCAGTGTCTCAGTTTTGCCATCTGTAAAACATTATGAAACTGTAACAACTTAATCACGAGCCTCACCGGGGTGCTCTTTGGATTAATCCATTTGTAAATGGCTTTGAACATTACAAGCTAATTGCCAGGCATGATCAGTTTAAAAAACACAACATGTACCTGTCTCAAGCAGCCTCCTTCAGGGCAGACTCAGATCATTAGATGCCATTCTAGCAGAGATAGGTGCGTTCACACCAGTTAACTAGCCTGATAACTGTCTCTCTCTACCAGCAGTTAACTAGCCTGATAACTGTCTCTACAGCAAGTAGGAGCAGAATTACTCAGGGTTCCCCCAGGGAAGTAGTGGACACACCGTTGCTTGGGATGTTTAAAACTCAAGTGGGTAAAGCACTGGACAATCAATTGTAGAAAACAATCCCACAAAGACGGAGGGATATAGCAAAGGAAGGTTATAGTGAAGGACCTAGTAGAGACAAAGAAAGACCTAACTTCTATGGTTTGCTCCAACCTTTGCGGAGCCAGAGACATTCTTCTGCTGAACCACACAGGCTCTTCCCCAGTCATAAGCCTATGAACACTCCTGTTAGTACAGTTTGGGCAAAGCTTTCAGGAGCTCACAACAGGACATTGGCAGGGTTTTGTCATGCAGGGCAGAGAGACAGAATTTGTCCACTGGAACAGAGTGCACAAGAAGTGACCTCCTTGCCTCCACCCCATCCCAAGCAGATACTTGTCCTGCTTCCAGGTAGATCACAGAAGGAAACCACAGAGAATAGAGTGCTTTTAATAGAAACGTGTGGCCGCATCTGCGATAAGGAACCTATTCATGGCTCGTCTTGTCCCCCATGCTTTGCAGCACTGTTGCATTTTCTCCACTTCAGGGGAGTTCACAGCAAACTCAAAAGTACAGGGTGAAACTAAGGGGTGGAGAAGTGTTTTTGTTAAGAAAGAGCTGATGATAAAAAACAACAACAAAACTCACACCTCTCCTCCCTCCCAGGGATGAATGGACAGGTGGCTGGCTCTCTAAGGAGTGGATACTCCTCACTGTGAGGATGCACAGAGGTCCCATTCAATACATGGAGAACTCATTCCACAAGGAGGAGCTCCATTCACTGCAGTAAATGCTGATTTGTCTTTCACTTGAGATGTGGCTTTGGTCACGGTGGTGAGGGATGAGACTTGGCAATAGTGGGCTCCTACATCTTGTCTGCTCTACAGAGAAGTTGTGTTCTTCTGCTGCTGCTGATGTCCTAGATCAGGTGAAAATTCTCTCTTGTTCTTGTAAGAAGATC